GTTCCCTGGCCCGAGCCCCAGAGAGAGGCGATGTCCCTCATGGATCTGAACACGGCAAGAACCTGTGTCTTACTTCCAAGGGAGAAAAACAAATGGGACTGCATGAAAAGGCCCCAGGCAAGACTGTAGCATAAAGAGGCAGAGACTTGGAGCTCCAGCAGGACCTGCAGGCACCGACAGCAAAGAGCCGGAGGGGATGAGGACGGATGCACCAAGAGTAGGGACCCTGGTCTCTAAGGGTCTAAACCCTGCAGTCCACCCTGCCTCAGCCCCAAGGTGAAGACTGCAATTCTTTCTTGAAATGGAGGCTGAAGACTTTTAGAAATAAACTAGTGTTTTTGCACAGTCACGTTTAGGGCCTAAAACTCGTTTTCTAAAGGATAGACTTTAAAAAAAAGAGTGTTGGGAAATGCATGATTTTAGAAAAATCAGTTCAGAAGATGATTTCTAAATCACTGAAATCATCTAAATCAGTGTATAAAGGCAGCAACTTCATCACCGGTTGGGCTCAGCATGTCATCTCTGCCCTGAAGTTAAACGTGACTGCTCCTTAAGGGTGGGGTTGAACTTGCATTCCGATTTGCCCTGGGCAGCCGCTGTCTGCCCCTCTTTGCTTCATTCTTGGTAGTGCAAAATGGGCTCCAGTTTGGGCAATACATTATGTGGTTGCTTTGTCTAAGAGTTTAAAAATGAAAGTGGTCCTGGGGGTGGCTGACTCTGAGGTAGGCACCATGTGACAGAGCGTTAGGGTGCCAGGCAGGTGTCGCTAGAGCCCAGGGGCCTCCGGAGGGGCCAAGAAACTCAGCTGGGTGATGGGAAAGTCAGGCGAGGAGCAAATGGAGTGGCAGGAGAGAGTCACGATGAGGTCGAGGTGCTGGGTAGAGTTCAGAGAACAGCGGTGGAATCAGAGTAGGATGTTGGAGTTTAATATTCCAGAGATGGAGCAGCTCAGGCTAACACCATGGCCTGAGTTATGACCACAAGAACAGGTAGAAGAAATAGAAACCTGATTCCTGTCTTTGATGCATTCCCTATTCCAAATCAACTAGGTAAATTCCACTTCTGGATACAGACACAAGAGAACGGACAGTCAGGACTCAAGCAGATACTCGTATGGCAAAGTACATAGCAGAACACTTCGTAAAAGGAGGAGAGCAGGTGAAAACAATCCAAATGTTCACTGACAGATGAATGGGCAAACAAAATGTGATAGATATGTACAGAGGAATTCAGCCTTATAAAGGAGTGAAATTCTGGCACATTCTATACCTGGATGAACCTTGAGGACATTATGAAATAAGCCAGTTGCAAAAGGACAAAGGCCATATGATTGATTCCACTTACACAAGGTACCTAGAATAGTCAGACTCATAGAGACAGAAAATCAATTACTAGTGTTTCAGGGAATGGCAAACGGGGAGTTAGTGCTAATGGGTGTAGAGTTTTAGTTGGTGATGATAAAAAAGTTCTAGAGGAGAATAATGGTGATGGTTATTATGAAGGTACCAAATGCCACTGGATTGTACACTTCAAAAGGCTTGAGATGGAGCTAGGCATGATGACTCACAATTTTAGTCCTAGCTACTTATGAGGCTAAGGCAGGAAGGTCAGAAGTTCAAGGCCAACCTGGGCAGATTAAAGAGACCTTGTCTCAACACTACAAAAAGGGGTAGGAGATGGCTGAGATGTGGCTCACTCCTCATACTAAAAAAAAAAGGTTAAAATATTAAACTTATGTTGTGCTTATTTGGCTACAAAAAATAATTTCAATAATAAAATATTTCTTTATGACTTTGATTAGGGTTATGTTAAAAGTAAAGGTTAATTAAAGGAACTATTGAATCACAACAAAGAACAGTCCTACCCAAAATGACTCTTAAAAAAAAAAAGGACTCTTGGTCTCATTTTCTATGCCAGGCAGATCTGGTTGGTTCTGCTGGCTGGCTTTTTGGGGGTTGAAACCAGGGAAGGAAGCAGCTTCACCCAAGCCAGGGGAAAGAAAGGAAAGGAAGCAATGACAGTTGGGGAAAAAGAAAAATTCACAGCTCATCACGAGGCTTTCTCCTTGAGGGAGAAGGTAAGTGGAGGAGGGATCTGATGAGGGTGGAAAAGATTGGCCTTCAGGGGTCTCACAAAGGGGTTACACAGGGAACCCGCAAGAGAATCACTACATTTCACTGAGGATCCTGGTGTGGTGGAAGATCACAAGTATTTAGAGAGAATTTTCCTCTTACCTCTTCTGACTCCCCAGGTAATAACCCTGAGGGGAGTGGAAACCCCTCCCCATCATCTAAATGAGTGAGAAACAGTAGAAGACAAACATTCTCCAGCAGGACCATCCAACATAGACTTCCCTCCTTTCATTGCACCAAACTGCGGTTAGGACAAGGCCTCGATGCCCTATCAAGATTGAAGCTTGGATTATTACAAGGGACTGGGCATTATAATCCTTCAAATGAGACTGTAACCAAGGATTGCCAGAACAATCATATGACTTGTCTACATTTTCATTAAGGGACAAAGCAAGACGAGGCCCCTCAGAATACACTTACAAGAGCAGTGAGAGGCAAAAATCAAATTGCTTTCTAATTTTACCTTATGAGCTATGCTTGTCTAATGGAATAGTTTCACAATATTATCTTCATTTGATAAGTAATATGCAATATCTTGCCTCCCTCACTAGACTGCGGAAGGCGGAGCCCATGTTTTCTTTATCCTCATATGGTTCCCAAAGGCTAGGAAATTTCCCTGCATGTACACGGTAGGCGCTGCCATGGCTAGTGGCTGCTCTCCAAGAGGGATTACCTGCCGGGCGTGGTGGTGCACACCTGTAATCCCAGCACTCGGGAGGCTGAGGCAGGAGGATCATTGCGAGTTCAAGTCCAGCCTGGGCTACCAAGTGAGTTCAAGGCCAGCCTGGACTGCATAGTGAAACCCTGTCTCAAAAAACAAAAACAAAATTTAAAAATAAATAAATAAAGAGGGATTACCCTACCTTAGGCAGACCCTTGCCATTACTATGCCCATGCCTAAACCAGTACAGGTAGGTAATAAGTCCTGGTTGAGTTGAATTAACTTTTCCTAAAGACAGAGTCTGTGTTCTTTCTTTCTTTCTTTTTTGGGGGAGGGAACAGGGAATCAAACTCAGGACCTTGCACTTGCCAGGCAGGTGCTGTACCACTGAGCTATCTCCCCGGCCCCTCTGTGTTCTTTAAAGTCTGATGATGGCAGACTTCTGGTTGCAGACTAGGGTGAGATGGGGTGGAAATGAATGTGGAGGGACGTTTTTCTGGGTCAGTTAGGGCTTCTCCTGTTTGGGAATGAGAGTGGGGCTCAGCCCAGCTCAGCTTATATCCGACGGTGCCAGAAGTGAGCAATACAGTGAACTATTGGGCCTACAACCAAGCTAAATCCATTTTTGAGTAAGAGAATCCTAAGGGGCTCTTAATCTTATAAAATTATCCAAAGTATGTGTTTTTGAGATAACAACTTAGCAAAAGCAGCACAGAGCTTCCCTCTTACGGTAGGGAGATTGGTCTCAAGTAGCTCAGGAAACAAACTTCTCTACAGATTAAGGCTGAGGAAGGCAGCTCCAGACCAGCTGATTCTGGTTTGCAGAATGGTAACATTGGAGAACACACTCTACCATCCATTTCTCATGATGTCACTTGTGCAAAAGAACCTCCTTTATTGGCAAGGCCACCTTCCTTGCCTATAGTGTCATGGAGGTAAAAGTGATGTTTAAATGTCTCTATTACTAAGTGCTTAGCTACTGCCTCTCTGAAAAGATAAATTTAACTGGAGCAGGGAGGGACAGGCATTCAGTCGGGCAAGAAGCCGCTTACTGAACACCAGTGGTGAACAGGGAAAGATCATTCTCCTCAAACTGGCCCACTCCACAGAAGTGTGGAGGCAGGGAACGAGCATAGCAGGTTGATCTCCAGGGTACTCCTGGGAGCATCCGTCAGCTCATGAGCTCACAGCGGAGTTCCAATCCCAAGATGCCTGCTTAGAGAAAGATTAAGATACTCTGTTTCAGGGACAGAAGCCCACAAAGTGAAGGGCACTGAGTGTCTGAGCCAGAATATCTTTTTTGTTTTAGATAAGGTTTTTCTAAGGTTCAGGCTGGTCTTGAACTCACTAAGCAGCCCAGGCTGGCCTCAAACTTGCAGCGATCCACCTGCTTCAGCCTCCCCAGTGCTGGGATTGCAGGCGTGCACTACCATATCCGGCTAAGCCAGAATAGCATCAAAAGCTGTGTGACTCTTTGGAAAGTCAACTGATCTCCAGGAGTCCTGAATGCATAAAAATAATATAGGCCTCTACTTCCATAGAGAGAAGGAAGTGAACTAGTTCCTTGGACCTCATGTATTTCCTCCTTCTCATTCCCTGAAGGCCCAAGAAGCAGATGCTTGACAAAATGATGCCTTCTTTGGGCCAGAAAGTTAATTGAAGTAAAGGTTTTTTTTTTTTTTACAAGGTTTATCTTTTCTGTACTCCTACAGAAGATGCTGTAAATAACCCTTATTAAACTGGAAAAAGCATGCAATAGGCACAAGGTTGACCATTCAAGAGCATGGGACTTAAGAAAAGAGTTAGGCCTCTGTGCAGAAAATATATCTACACGTAGGGCTCAGCCCCTCACTACAGAAGTCTGACATTGCACTGATATGCACACACACACACACACACACACACACACACACACACCCTCTCCAAAGGGGTAGGGGGCAGGAACACAAAACAGCAACACTCCACAGGACTACTGCATTATTCTATTATTGCCCTAGTTATAGACTAATTTAAGCCATCTGATTGCCCCATATCTGTGTCCTCTAAGTCTTCCACAGCGTTTAGCAGAAAGCAATAAAATTCTCACCTGACCTTGGATGGACTGGGGATTCCTGCCTGTACTACTCGGTTTGCTTTCACTTCCGTCCCCAAATCAGAGCCTACAACCAGGCTGCAACTCCACATAATTTTAAATCCACTCTACTCACCCCTAGTGCAGTGACCTGTGGTTCCCAGGCCCTTGAATCCAATCCCTTTAGGGTGGGCCTTGCAGTTAGAACCCACCCACCTCTTCTTTTTTCTACCTCCGTTATTAACATAGCACCTCCTCTCTGGTCTCATCAACCACTTTTTAATCAAAAAGTCTTTGTCTATTCATAGATGCTGTAAAAGTAACATTTGTTTTATGTTCTTTAATCTAAAGCCTGAGCCTTCAAAGGTTCCCACTGGTTTATCTAATCGGTGTATCCTAGGGAGGTTGGTTACTTGCTTCTTTAGCTTGTGAAGTGGGACACAGCCCAGGCATTTACCCAGGGAGAATCAGCTCTTTTAAAATAGAAAATCCTCAGGAAAGATTATCAGGCTTTTTGCCTCTTTTCTCCATGGCCTGAGATCAAGGAAAAAATTCCTCATCCCACTACCACCCCAGCCCAGCAAACCCCAAATCCTGACTCTTCAGAGAAGAATACAGACAAAGACAAAGAAGGCATTTGAGTACACCCGATCCCACAAGAAAAAATTTTGCATACTTTGTGATTTTCCTAGGTTTTGTGCTGGTTTTCACCCTCTGTTTAACAATTCGTTTTCTGTAAGCGGCAAAGGTATGAGGAAGGAGTAGCGGAAGAGAGGATACTTGGAGGAATGTGAGAAGGGAGAAAAGAGTCAGTGAGTGGGATGTAAGAGAAAAGAAAGCCGTGTGAGGGGAGCAGAAGGAGGGCACAGCCCTGGGGGGTATGGAGGAGGAGCAGGCCAGGAAGTCACAGCATCTCCAGATGCAGGCTCTGGGCTTGGCCACACACCTGCCTTCCCACTTGGGACTCTCAGCAGTGCTGCAAAGGGAGCACCCTCATGCCTAACCTTTCAAATTTTGAAGCTGAGGTTCAGAGACTACTACTTGCCTCTGGACTCATAGAAAGAAAATCAGAGGTTGGAATCCCTGTTAAAAAAATTAACTCTGATCCTCTTCTTCCACAGTCCTTTCTGTGGTCTCTCTGTCTTTCAGAGTCGGCTTTCTCTTTCAGACAGGAAATCCATCACTGTTTAGTGTATGAGCGTATGTGTGTGTTTCAGTTTTTTGAGACAGGATCTCACTCTGTATCCCAGATAGGTCTCAAACTTGCAGTCTTCCAGCTCATGAGTGCTGGGATTATAGACAGGTGACACCACTCCCAGTTTGCCTTCTGGTTTAAAGTCCTTACCTTAAAGATCATGTAGAGTTTTCCCTCAGTGGAAAGGCCACAGCCCTGGACTTAGGGCCCATCTGTGACAGACAGGTGGAAGGATGCATTTCAGAGGCCATGGCTGAGCCAACACATGAACCTTACATCCTAACTTCTCTTAACAATTCATAGAATCAAAGACCAACCAGACTAGGGGGACCAATACATCTTGGGCTGCCTGAGATATTTCTGCTTTAAGCACTGAAGGTCTGTGACCCAGGGTATCTCTTAGTCCCAGGCAGGTTAGGACAGCAAAGTCCAGAAACAGTCGCAGGTCCTTTAGTTTCCAGCTGATTGGGGATCAGACAAATTCACAGCCAGAGAGTGTGAGGCCCCAAAAAGAAACAGAGGGAGAAGGCACAGTGAAAGAAAGACCACATATGTGTGAAGGATTGATTCATTTCACAGATATTCACTGCTTACTCTCTAAAGGCCCAGCCCTAGTCTAGGCCCTCCGTGTTAGAGCTTCCTGGAGGAAGCAGCCTTGGAGATGCACAGACAGGGCATAGGATGGGGCAGGTTCAGAACAGCAGAGCTACCAACGAGCATTTGAGGCAGAAAAAAGGTAGCCAAAAGCTAAGACCCGAAAGATGAAGGAACATGGACTAAGAACCCTGAGCACAGGGCAGGTCTGGGGAGACCAAGGTTTGGGCTGTAAAGATAGGCTGGACTATTCTAAGTGTAAACACCCACAACTGTACCTGAATTCAAAAGCATATGGGAAGGGACTTTGTACAAGAACAGAAAAATTGCCTTCAGAGTGGATTGTAGCACAGGTGGAAAGACAAGTTGGGACATTTACTGCCAAGGACACAAGGGCAACCCTTTGGTTTTACCTACTCAAGTCTGTTTCAGGTATTTTAGTGTTTTTTCTTTTTTTCCACATGGTCCAGGGATCTGCAGCTGAGCTTCACCTGGGGTGCCAGGGGATAGGAAGATCTTGGGTGGAGAGCTTTCCTTCCACGATGGACAAAGGAACAGGTCTGCAGGCTGAGGATTCTTTCTGATGGAGGAACTGTCCTGGGAGCATTTTTTTTTCTCCTTTATATCCAGTGCTTGCTCGGAGTTGACCGAATATACTTCTCAGTTTCCGGCCCAGCTCCAACCTCACATGGGCTGTCAACCGAAGCATGTTCTCTGTTTACTTTGAGGGCCTCTCTGTCTTGCTACACAGGACAACCGCTTGTCTGTTCTGTGCAAGCAAGGGGAGACACAGGGGGAGGGGTGGGGAACACAGCCTGAAACCTGCTGCTCCATTACCACCAACTGGGCAGTGTCCCGCACTGCTCCCTGTCTCTGCTGCGTCTGAGCCTCAGGTTTTCACTCTGCCCACTTCTCAAATGACTTGCTCTTGTCTCTGTCAAGAGGCAAATTTCTCAGTCACCTGTGACGTAGCATATCCAATTTGCATCCAGAACACTAGCAGTGGGGCTGGGAATTTAGTTCAGTGGCACAGCACCTGCCTGGCAAGTGCGAGGTTGTGAGTTCGATTCCCAGTACTGGAAAAAAACAAAAACAAAAACAAAATACAAACAGAACACTAGCAGCCAGGAGTTCTGGGAAAGTTTTTCACTTTCTAATCTCTTCAATGAGGACAATGAAAAGAATCTACTATACCAGTCCGAGAATCTACTATACCAGTCCGAGAATCTACTACAGAGTTTCTAACTCTTCACCAAATTGACAAAGCTGTATATCCTAATTGACTGTTGTGTATTTGTTCCCTGAAATAGAACCCAGGGGGAGATGGGGTGAAGAGAGAGGCATTCCTGTCCCTAACTTTCCCCATACCTAGGCCATGTTCTCCATTTAAGAACACAGCAGCCTTACCTGGACTCTGGGACTAGAGTGGACATGGAGAACTTTTTTGCGGAAGGGAGAGAAAGTGTAAGCTTTTCCTTGTTTTCCAGAACTGTTTTGGGACACCTCTGCCTTTCTTTTCTTTAAGATGTGTGCACGCATGCGCAATGGCGCGCGCCACCCCTCCCCACACACAATTGCAATTGGATTCAGGGAAGAAAGAGAAGTGAAACTGAGAATTCAGCTCATCCTCTTGCTGTTTTCTTTCTTTTTCTAGTGTTAGGCATTGAACCCAGGGCATCGGGCACGCTGGGCAAGTACCTTACCAGTGAGCTGCCTTGCCAGCCCGAGCTCATCTTGATGAGCTGAAGTTTCTTATTTCCATCAAGGTTGAGCTTGTTTTGTTTCTAGTACTGAACAACTGCATTTTTTGTGAATTGCCTATGCATGTCCATGTTTATATTGACGTATTTTTCTTTTTCCTATTTCTTTATAAAATTTAACATACACAGTCATTGTCTGGTATCTGTGGGGCACTGGTGCCAATCTCCACTTCTAGCACCAAAATCCTTGTACGCTCAGTCAAGTCCCTTACATAAAATGGTGTAGTATTTTCGTAGAATCTTTGCTCCATATACTTTAAATCATCTACATTATTTATTCTTAATGCAATTTAAATACTTTGTAAATAGTTCTTAAATATATTGCTCACAGAAAAAAGTCTGTACTTGTTCAGCACAGAAACAAATTTTTCTGTATATTTTGTCTGAGTTTGAATCTGTGAATACAAAGCCTATAGATAGAGGGCCAATTATACTGTAAATATTTTGCTGTTTGTCATCTGTCATTCAATTTTTTTTTTTGTTTTTCTTCTTTGGTGGGGAGAAAGAGAGAGAAAGTAAATTTTAATGAAGTAAAATTTATCCATGTTTTCCTTTAAGGTTTCCAGTTTTGTTGCCAGTTTTGAAAAAGCTTTCCTCATCCTCAAGTTTAGGTTTTCCTTTAGGTTTTTTAAAAAAAAAATTTAAATATTCAACCCATTTGGACTTTAATTTGGAGTGTGGTCTCAGATAAGGATTTAACGTTATCACTTTTCCCCATGCATCACCATTTATCAAATTATGTATCGGAACCCACTGGTTTGAAATGCTATCTTGCGCACTTACTAAATGTTTCTGCGTCTTTGAGTCTGATTTCAGCCAACCAGCATGACAATAGGCCCGGCATTCAGGTTCCCTTTCCTACTACCTACCCACTGCCAACTAGGTCACGAACATTTCTGTGGCAAAGCATGTCACCGACTCCTCATTACCAAAGTCAATAGGCACTTTTAAGGTCTTTTTCAATAGACTTCTCTGTTACATCTGACACTGCTGATAGTCTTGTCTTCTTTTGTGAGGGTGTTGTCTGTTTTGCTTTGATATATTTTGGGACAGCTGATCACGGGGTAATATGCACCTTCTTCTTTACTAAATAATGCCACCCTGTGTTCCAGGCTGGCTGTAGCAGTTTATACCACCCCCAGGACGTTAATGCATCATGACAGTCTACCTGGACTATGTAGAGACAGGAGCTGGTAGACCTGGGATGTTCCCATTCTCTGTGCCCCAGCATTTGATCCGTGTAGCCTCTATGCTCTTTCTCCACAAATCTCTTTCCTGTGAATTTGAGTCCTGCTGCTGGCCTACGCCAGTCGCATCACCATCACCAACCTATCCCCAACCAAAGAACAGTACAGACCTCTAAAGACACCTTTTTCAAAGGCCATTTTTTGCATTTTGGTCTGTTCCCAGAGCAGTCAATAAATCAGAACTCCTTCGACTGACTGAAGGCCTTCCCCTCCCTGGCGTCCTCATCCATTCCAGCCTGATCTTCCCACCTCCTCTCTCCCCTCCTCAAGGGGGTGAAATATCCAACCAAGATTACGCATTGTACTGGTAGGGGTATAAACCGGTACAACCTTTCTGCAAAAACAATGTGGCAATATTTAATAAAAATGAA